ATGGGAATATTCCCATAATTATACTATTCCTGTAGTTTAAACTACCATTAAATAATGTATAAATTTCAATTATTTGGCTGGCATAAATTATTTCCTCAAGTTTGTCTCATTTTGTTGTATCAAACTGAACTCCTGTAAAAGGAGAGCAACACATAAAGTAATTACAGTGGTAGGTTTCAAAAATTTTTGGAAACTCTTCTGTAGGTGTGGCCTGATTTCTGGGTCCACTGGTGGAACCTCTTCTAACCGGTTTGGTAGATTTGACGAACCGGTTCTACCGAATAGGTGCGAACTGGTAGGAACCCACCTCTGAGCTCAACGCAATTGATTTGAAGTATCTGATTATGGAAAGACATGAATGAAAGATCTTGCTTTAAAATGCATTTGGAGTTTGGACACAATACAAATTATTGTATCAAAAGTACTGATTTATCTTTGCTGGAACACTTGTTAATTTTCAGGAATAAAGACTAACTGTGGAATTGTCCTTTTTACAGACATTAACCAAATGTTATATCTATTTTTGTTCCTGAATTGAACTTCCTCTTATTTCCATTTATTTTTGAAAAGTGTAAATTAAATCAAAATTATTTGCTGCAGAAATGTTGTCTAAGATTTCCTTTTAATTTTTCCCCCCAGTGGTCTCTTTGCTGGCAACATAACAGAAATGCATTATTTGGAAGATGGTAGTACCACTATTGTCACGCGTAATTATACGGTAAGCTTTGTGAATTCCTGTGATTGGAAGTCAATGTATCATACTTTATAGTTGAAGGGAAAAAATGGGAACCATGCAAATAAAGTGAGTAGCCTATATTTGATTTTAGATTTTGGTCGCTGCACTGTACTCATCCTTTTGTTCAAAATTCACATCTATGGAAGGACGTGCTCCAATCGAACCATGATATATAATATATTTAAATAACAATAAGATTTGTGCACTTAATGCTCTTTGAAAATGTGCCTGTTAGAGGTTTTAAACAAGTTGAAAGCATCTCCTGTTGCAAATATGTAGCATAAGAACCAGATTTTGAGATAAGGAAGCTCTCCCAAAAAAAGAAAGATTATAAAAACTTCCTGGCTTTCTTCAGTACAGGAGCTAGAGAGCCTTTTTTTATTTCTTTTTCATTTTCATGGGATCAGCCCCTGAAAATACATTATGGATGAGGCTTTGGAAGAAGAGTTGATGAAAGAATTCAAGCTTTGCCTGTTATTTATTAAAATATTAACAAATATCTTCGCAAAGCATTCTTTTCAATAAAAATATAAGACTGTAATGACGTTATTTTTTCTAGCTATAAAAAGGTTTCTTAATTAAAACAGTAGATAAACTTAATTATTAGACAGTATTTGTCTTTTGATTAATTCAAACTGAACTTGCAACATTAACATTATATGTTAGAGAGAGCTGTTGAGCTCAGTGCTTTTCATAATAACTGTGTAGATAATAAAACATGAAGTTACAGAATGACTTTTGTCTTATATTGGGGCTGTCGGTATGAGCTATTTTGGAATGTGTAACTAATCAACAGTTTCATTAAAGGTTCTTTCAGAGATTTCCCTGCAGTTTGCTCCCTATTTTAAGGTGAAACAAGAAACAATATTCTAAGGATGTAACTTGACAAAATGATGGGGGATACTCTTTTTTTTTTCATTCTCGGTATTTTGAGTGGGGGAAATGCAAATAACTCATTTTTCCAACACTATTTTTTTTTCTCGGAATGAACATGCAGCTGGCAAAGGGAAACTGTTCCAAATTCAAAATAAATTTTGGTCTGAATATTTTTATTTCATTTTCATTTTCATTTTC